CATATAAGATAAGGGATTATCCTTATCACTTAAAGAGTCCAGATCCAAATAAAGATTTGGATCAGGAAACTCCTAATCAGATTAGGAGGTTGTCTCTTTAAGGTTATAAATAGAGAGCAGGGCGGACCTGAAAAAGACACCAAACACAACACAGAGAGAAGACAACTTAGTTAGACTGATCTTGCCTTTAGTTCTTTTTCTTCCTGCTCTTGCTGCCCTACCCTATTCGATCTCCAGTTCTTGGATATGATCAAGATTTGATCTTGATATTGTTTCTTGCTGGAAGAAACAATTTTAAAGTTGTGCTCACTACCCCATTCAATTCTTGTGGAAGAATCACAAGTTCTTGGTGAAGAACTACTTGCTAATCCTGCCTCATCCTAAGCTATGTCATCTTCAGTGGAGGGAGGATTTGGTAAACTCTTAGGGCGTGAACACCTACGTTGGGAGGAGCTTTTGCGTGGGTTCCGTATCAAGTATATCCCTCCCTAATCTTGGTTTCAGATTTGGTCCGGTTTGGTTACAAGAACGAACCTTGAAAATGCAATTTTCTAAATTGGGAATAGGATTCCCGGAAGGGAGTAAAGAAATTTTTGAAATTTCGCCCAACCTTCCTGCAGGGTTCGGCCATCCAAATGATGGATCTCCCATCCCTATCATCAACTACTTCTCTGTTTTCTCCATCATTATATACATGCTCTAGCAATTGAGTGGAGAAAAGTGCAAGCAGAAAACCACTTAGTGGCCCAAAAAGATATAGTAGCTAAATTAGTGTAAAAAAAAGATACCCATCCCCTATTCCAAAAGCTAGTATCTTTTATGATTAAAGAAGAAGTGTATGAGAAAAGAGGATTGCACAAGAAGAATATAAGAGCAGAGGAAGAGGAAGAGGAAGATAAGAAATCACCTGAGAGAAAACAGACTCAAACCGAAGACCACCAAGCTAACAACAAGACCAAATACTCCAAAACCTTACAACATAAAGCTTAGAGTGACCACACCATGAAGCAAACACTCAACTCAATTCAGAACCAAAGACAAGACTTAATAGAAGAAGAAGCATAAAGACCCCCAAAAGATCACCCTAATCCTCCTCTTCAAAGAGTCCCTCCTGTCTTGTATCATCCCCGTTCCAAATTTCTCCTCCTTAACCTACTATTACCTTCTTAGACCTCTCTTCCCTCCTTTTCCCAAACTCCTTAAAGGCTTCTCTGGCAAACTCCTCTCCTCCCCAAAAAAACAGCCCAAGACCCTTGCCCACTTCCTCAACCCCTCATCTCCAAAGGACAACTCCTGAAGTTCAAACTCAAGATTCAGACCCTCCCCCGTCCTTTCCCCTTCCAAAATGAGAGTCCCAAACTTGGGATTGGCTTCAATAGAAACATGAGCCTCCTCACAGTTTCACTCAGACTTCAGCACCTTTGGCTTCCTCCCTCTTATCTTAAAAATCCTCTTGTATCTATTCGTAGGCCCTGCCCCCACTAAACCATCCTTCAACCACAAGAACATGTGAAGAGACTGGGCTGAATGGGCCCTAGTATATTTTCTTGTAGTATGTTTTGTTTATTTGTTAGCTAATGGGCCTGTTATTTCTTTTGCTAGTTCTCTTTATGTTACTGCCTAGCTGGCCGCCCACTTAAGGGTATACTTGTAATTATGTTAAGATTGAAGTTTAGTAAAAGGATTAGAGA